CGAAAGCCAACTCAATATCTCGCAAATCGTCTGACCAGCTTGGAAATTTGGAAGTGAGAGACCAGTTTCGTTGCAAGGCGGGACCTCTCAATATCGATGGGTAGAAGGGGCAAAGCACCGAGTTATATCCAGAAAACCGGGTGAAGAAATAATCTGCCTCTCGAACACCCTCGTCGTCCAAGCAGCCTGGCTCTTGGTTTTCGGAACCCAGACCAGGCGTGCAATCTTCTAGGGCGAGCATGGTGGTATGCATGATCTTATCGATGGACTCGCTATTCCCTTGCATCGCTTCAAACATTACGTAGAGAATACTAAGAATGAGAATCGTCCGTGGTGTTGATGATCCTTCCTGTGACATGCGTGATCGAAACTTTGATATTGACTTGGTGTAATATTGAATGGCATCTCTTTGATACCTCGTACTCAGCGATGTAGTGGCGATCTTTGGGATAATCCAAAGTGTTGATGTCTCTAAGGATTTTGCGTTTTGGGCCTCGTCCATCATAGCCCGGCGTAGTGCACCAATTCCAAGCACGCAATCACGTACACATTCATCTCGAAAGATCTCTCGAAGTAGAGTCCGTGACCAGAAATTTGTGTAGCCGTTCAAACACAAGTTTTCCACGATGACGCTGCGGAAAAGGTCAAGGTAGAGGGCGTCGAACTCTTCGAAGTCTACCCTTTGCACTCTCGAAAGCAGCCCTGGATCACGCTTATCGTTGATTTTGGCTTGGAAAGAGGCCACAGCAGACTCGAGGGGCTGATTATGGCGTTCTCCTTGGCCCACTTTAGAAGGAGAGTTATATTTACATGGCAGCCAGCTTTTCTGACAGCGGCGGCATATCGGCCGCTCTTCACCACATTTAACTCTTCGCGCTTTACATGTGGCACACCCTTTAATTTGTTAATGAATGAAAAAAATGAGGTTATATCTATATCTCATCTAGAAGCACCTACCGGAACGAACTTTGGGTTTCCGGGCTCGTATACGGGGTACCGACGGGGCTGTCATATTGAAGGGAGTAGGATAATTAGTGCCTTCTTGACGGCAGCGTCGCAAGGCATATCGAGATTATGTTACGAAAGAGCCTTACAACGACTAGAATTCAGGGACAACGTCATATTATAAAGCAAGTTTTTGCACTTGAAGAATTAGTTCCCGGTGAACTCAGCCTTATTCTGTATATTGCCTGTGTGACGTAAATCCTTCATGGGGACCTACACAATTGCCAAGTTGCTTGATAGGCATCTTCCTCGTGATATAGGGCCAATACCAACGAGCAAATGCCGTGCTACCAAATTACTAGGGGGTCATACTGGGGAAAAAACCAGACATCTAAAAGGGCTGAATTTCTGTGCCGTAGCGCCTGGTTCTTCGGTGGCTCGACTCGCGTGACAGTGCGGGTGGAGAGAGAATCCTTCGAACGAGATTATGTAACATCGCGCATAACTTTGTGGAATTAACATGAGCCACATATCGGTCAGCTTCGAGCATCGGAGTTCGAATACTCATATGGAGTTTTAGTCCGGCTGCCCGGAAGGGGGTTACACAGCATTTCATTTTCGAACGCATGTTCATGAGGTGAGAGTCAAAAAAAAAGCAATAGGAGAGACTCGAAAAAAAGGGGGCGGGGAACTTGGGACTGGCTTTGAGTCGGGTCGGATATGGGATATTACCTAATTCGGGTTTCGGGCAGTGGCATTCGAGTTGATGTGGTACAACAGCTCTAGAACAGTTTTTGCTTTCCGTCTGGTTAAGAAACTAGCGAAGTATTACGGTGCTTGGATTTTGAATTCGACGTTTAATCAAATTGGAACACACTCTAATGCAAAGTTGTCAACTTTGTTGACATTTTTAGAGTCGTGTAAGTCGAGATGACATGGAATAAAAAATGACTCTCATTCTAGAAGAATGATCGACTCCTGTAGCCTTTTCGCTATAGCTTCTATTTACCTAGTTTCTCGAGGAATGCAGAATGCAAGATCTTAATATACCTTAGGCAGGTGAGTAAAGTCTCGACTGTTCCCCCTTTTTTCGAGGACACCGATAGGCTGCGGCTCACCATGAAAATGCTCGATGACGGCATTTACCCCGCTGCTTATAAAAGAATGGCCGGGAACTCGCGGTGAAAGATCCATAAACAGTCCAGAAGATTACGATATGTGGATTAACATTTGCTATCTACCAAGATATGCCCGGATAGGCAGAGATCAGAGTCTACTCTACTGCACTTTTACTACGATGTCTGATGGGGCGACACGAGCTGACGATAGGGTACTCCCAATGATAAGTCGACAACAGTCCGGGAATACACGCCGGTCAGCATGCAATGTGCCATGTAATGGCCCGTACGTGATGCTACCCTGATCAACCTTCCCTACTCGGACGTCGTTTGCGTTGCTTTTTCCTCTTTCGGGTCGCTTGTTTTTGTGATTTGATGACATCCGCGCACGCAATGCTGATTCCAAGCCTATCCTGGCTCGATGCTCTTCTGGAGCCATTTACCTAGGACCTGCGTCAGCACCCGAAAACCCGGGTTCTCTCGTCGCTTCAAAATAGATAATTGCTAGCACTTTAGCTCCTTGGCTCTTTTGCTTCCAATCCATTGGCATTGGCATTTATCTATTGCGGCTGAAGTCATGAAGCTGAATTGGTTGTCAATCGGCCTATTGGCTGCGCTCTCTCGAGATGCCGATGCTTTCCAGAAGGGAAGACGGGACACGCCTCGAGATCAGCTGCAGTACGGTGTGAACTACTTTGATCAAAAGGTCAACCACTTTCCTGATGATCCGGTGTTCAATATATCGCCTCTAAGCAACAACACTTTCAAGCAGCGGTACTACTTCGATAGCACTTATTATAAGCCTGGTGAGTTATCATATTTTTATCACGTGGATGAGATATGATATTAATATTTTCATAGGCGGTCCGGTATATCTTTACATCTCAGGAGAGACAAGTGGACCAAGCAGATTCTCCAATCTGCAGACCGGAATTATTCAAATATTGATGCAAGCTACTAATGGCCTAGGTATGACATGCTACAGAGGGGTGAAATGTGTGCATACGAGCGAGAACTAATTGTTATGAAGGTGTCATTCTCGAGAATCGCTACTATGGAGAATCTTACCCTTTCAACACCAGCACGGTGGATGAATTGTTGTTTCTCACGACAAATCAAACCATAGCTGACAATGCTTACTTTGCTCAAAATGCCGTGTTTCCCGGAATCAACGGTACCCTGACCGCGCCTGGGACTCCATGGATCCTTTACGGAGGTTCTTTGGCGGGTGCCCAAACAGCGGCCTCAATCAAGGTGCATGGCGACATTCTCTACGGCGGCATCGCTGCCTCTGCGCCCATCAAGGTATCTGTGGGTTATCCTGAATGGTATAACCCAATCCAGAAATATGCGCCTCAGGATTGCGTGACGAGAATCAACAACATCGTTGACAAGTTCGACTCGCTTATCGCGAAGAATAACACCAAGGCGATTAATGAGTTCAAGGCTCTATTCGGACTTGAGAGTCTGACGGACAATAGAGATTTTGCAGCGGCGATTGCAGTAAGTTCTACTTGAAATTCCTATCCCAGACTCAGATGGCGTTATGTGTTGAAACGGGTGCTAATTCAATATATAGGACCCCATTGGAAACCCTGGGTTCTACTTGTCAAGTACATGGCAGGAATTGAATTGGAATTCTACATATGGCTCAAGAGATTTCTTCTATTTCTGTGGGAATGTCTCTGATATTGATGCCCCTGAAGAAATTGCCTCAGTTGATTACGCGATGGCGAATTATACTGACGGTGAACCCTGGGTGTATGGCTCCCCCTACTATATTCTTAGTCTAAGGTGGTTGCTAATATCATTATTTCCCATAGTGGCCTTGGTGGTTATGCTTATTACGTGAAGACTTACACGCTTCCACTGTGCGCTTCGGGAGATTATAATGCTAATGGCTGTTGGGTAAGAACTAATAAAATATTTATGAGATCCATGATTTTGACAGAAATCAACTGACTTTTTCACTATAGGGAACTCAAAATGCCTCGGCTTGGGCTGATGTAGAAAACACCTCTACACGTTCATATCTGTACACGAGCTGCATAGAACAGGTGAGAACACTTCATAAAAGAAAGTTAAATACATGAGCTTAAACTAATTTCATAAGGGTGCGTATATCGATGCGCCGAAAGAAGGACCGGCTCTGCTGTCTCGTGTCATAGACACCAGCTACGAGCAGCAGTGGTGCACCTGGGCATTCCCTCCCGGGAAATATAACTCGATCCCGTCTGAGCCAGATATCGATGCATACAATAACTTCGGCGCGTTTAACTTCAGCGCCGATAGACTAGCTTTCATCGATGGAGACCAGGACGTATGGCTCGACCTATGCTACCACTCGAACTTTGCGCCTCCTCGGAACGTTTCTACGGACCTGCATCCCCAGCTCCTAATCACTGGATCGGGACATCATTGGGATTCATACGGTATCTTGGACGTGGAAGCAGAACCTCAGTTCATCCGGGAAGCCCATCTGTGGGAGATCAAGACGGTGAAGAAGTGGCTTAAGAGCTTTGGCGACTGGAAGAAGTCGAAGTACCAGGCTACGATCTACGGGTCTTAGAGCTCAAGAGCGGACGTCATACTGTTATACTTAATATATAGTATTAATGAGTAGAGATAGAGTAGGTAGCTAACGAGAAAGAATTAGCTGGCCTCTCAAGTTATTTTCAACCAAGGATATTGTTATGATATTTGTGTATGTACGTTTGCATCAAAAATAATTATTGAGATCGGAATAAGAACTTGAAATAAACGGAGGTGCCACATTATGCGGGAAAAAGTGAAGTTGGAACAATGAATGTGATTTGACAAGGGGTTCGCTCCTATCACAGTGCACAGCATGGTGCGAAGCTAACTAAGTTGGCACTAATGGACCGTTTTTGCGGAGGAATATAGCATAGACTACGAAGACTGTTTCCCAGGAAAAAGGGGTGCATGGCCTAATGGTAAGGCGTCAGATTTCGGTTGCTGTTTCCATTACAGTTTCACTGTCCTCTGAAGATTGCAGGTTCGATCCCTGCTGTGCTCGGATTAATTTTTTTGGTTCTTTCCTTTATTCAATCCAACCCACCAATTTAACTTTTTGCACCCTTCAATAATAGAACTTTATTGCTACAATTTTACACAAAATTAAATACCACATGGTGTTATTTTACATGTTGACTTATTTCCGATTCGTGTCAATTTGTCAATTCGAATGTTTGTATGTCCGAATACACATACAAATATCGCGAGGACTTTCCTTTTGTCGCACACGCAAAAGATGCCCCCGCTTTGTTATCTAAGGGACCGAAATCGGCCCACTAAAATTTGGTTTTTGTGATATGGAGAGTCATCGTCCGCATCAAATCATGCCGGTTACAAAGAACAAGAACAAGAATAGGAACCAGACCTAGACACTCACCGCTGAGCAACGGTTCACCACGGGTACGGAAGAGAAGGCATTGTATACCCGCGTTGCCAATGCGCGATTCTATACAGTAAGCTCGACGGTGTGTCGCCTAGGTACTGCTAATACTGCGAATATTCCCGCTAAGTAATCCGTTACACATATTGCACATTCGTACACACACGCAGCCGTACATATATGGGTTGGACTCTGTAGCACCTTTTCGTCCACCCCTTTCAATCATTGCGGTTCGCGGCTGGTTGTATAGTTGCGCGACAACTTAGTAGTAAATCACTTGGCAAGCCGTGCCTTCGCCATGTCTGCCTCTTTGCCGGGAAATCGGGAGCCTCCCGAGTCACAGTATGACCTGAGCACGTATTGGGGTCGCGTTAAGCAGACTGCCACCATCACTGATCCAAGGTATGAAAGGGAACTTTTGCTAGTGATACCGGCAACTGGCAACTTATTTTAAGACATGGGATAAGCTCTAATATGCAATTGTTGATAATAGAACACTCTTCGCCGGACAACATGGCCTCGAACAAGCAAAGAAGTTACTGGTGGCATATAAGCAAGGCGAGATCAAGGATATGACGCCAGAGCTATGGAAGGCCAAGAAGATTGTCGACTCTACATTACATCCCGGTATGGTAACATGAAGAGCTTGACCAAGCTACAGGATAACTTCGAGCTCTCGAGCTAATCCCGTCTGCTAGATACCGGAGAGCCGGTGCTTCTACCCTTTCGCATGTCATGTTTCTGTCTGTCCAACTTGGTCGTCACCGTTGGCATGCTTACGCCAGGACTTCAGGTAAATCCTCACATCCTCATCTCCTAACATCTCTGTTTAGTATCACGTCGGATCGAAGAGAAGCTTACCATTTACAACCTTATAACAGACCACTGGAACAGTGCTCTGGCAAATCACCAACCAGTCCCTCAACGTAGCCATCAACTACGCGAACGCGAACAAATCCACACCCCTATCCTACTCCAAGATCGCACAATCCTACTTCCTAGCCGTCGGCGCATCGTGTTCGGTCGCTCTAGGTCTGAACGCCATCGTCCCGCGCCTGAAGCGCGTCTCCCCAGCCGCGAGACTCGTGCTAGGCCGTCTCGTCCCATTCGCAGCCGTGGCATCGGCAGGTGTGCTGAACGTATTCCTTATGCGCGGCGAGGAAATCCGCACGGGCATCGACGTCTACCCCGTCCTCTCCGAAGCGGACAAAGCGCAGCTCGCGAAAGAGGGCAAGGCCGAAAGCGAGGTGCCGAGCTTAGGCAAGAGCAAGAAGGCGGCGACGCTCGCGGTTGCGGAGACGGCGATGAGTCGCGTGTTCAACTGCACGCCAGTCATGGCGGTGCCGCCGTTGCTGCTGGTTCGCTTGCAGCGCACCGAGTGGTTGAAAAGGAACCCCCGCTACACGATGCCCGTTAACGTGGGCTTGATCCTCGGAATGAGTTACCTGGCGTTGCCGTTCGCGCTGGCGGCGTTCCCGCAGAGACAGAAGATCGGCGCGGAGAGCTTGGAGGAGGAGTTTCATGGGAGAGGGGGCGAGGGGGGAATGGTGGTTTTTAATCGTGGGATTTAGGTTACTACTTCAGTAGTCTAAGATCAAGGTTAGGAGAGGTCATCTTTTCCGACGCCATTTCCCTCCACGAATGCATCATCGGCGGCGTTTGGTGGATTTAGAGTTTCCATAGCTGGTAATGCGAGGCGTCTGTCTTAGTGAAAACAAAAAGAGGTAAATCACGAGTGAATTTTCACATGGGTTCAACGGTCCGAGTTAAGGGGACACGGTTCTTATGAGGAGTCAAAACAGGTATCATGCTGTGACGGGCGAAGGAAGGTTCTGCGATTCTTCCGTTTCATCATCGGATCACCCAAGACAACAACAAGAAAGAGGTAGAACACGCGCGCATAGTATTATGTATAATTGAATGAAATAATAAACCAGATGATATAGACCTAAGTGTATTATATATAGTCGGTACTTGCCTCTTTAGATATAGAGGTTTGTTTGGTCACTGTTTTACGAGACGTGATATGCTGCTTCACGGGCGTCTGGGGTACATGTCTGCCGCGACGATCCGGCTTTAGGGGGGGGTTTGTTAGGGTTTGGGTTCAGAAGGGGAAACGTGCCTAGCCGTTCCGCTTCGACGAACGGAACCCCTGGGAAAATCATTGAGGGAGGGGTTTAAGGGACTTTTCAGGGCTATCTCCAGGGCGGGCTAGCTAGGACAAATGTCGTAATTTGTTGCCTAACGTCCCGCCTGTTGAGAGAAGCTATTGCACACCTAGTGGGCGCCTCACATAGATATGGTATTATTCACGATCCTTTCTATACGTTCGCATTCGGATTTTCATGTTGGCTGGGATTCGAGATTTGGGCGGGACGTAATTATGGTTCCTCCGATCTTCGCGGGAGAGGAAGATAAAGGACCGTTGGAATTTGTCAGATTTGTGTTCGAGAAGGTGAAGGGTAAAAAAAGACCGCAGCGTCCGCCGGAGGCTCGTGAAGGATTGATCGACACAGGCTGACGGGAGGCGCTGCTACTGTGCAATTAACCTCCAGGGCTAGCATAAAACATAAGTGCTTAAATATGGTGGATGGAAGACTGACGTTTCAATCTCTAATAGTGTATGTAGGTAGGCCTTCCTGTAGGCTCTATCTAGGACATTGAGGCCCTCGATTCTAATATACCATCCTGATAATCTTTTGGTGTATCTATCTTTGCCCTGCTTGCCCTACTACCGTCGTAACGGGATGAGGTTGCAAATCCACTTTCATCCCAACAGGTAAAAACTGGGGAACCGTATAAACCGATTTATCCAGGCGGAGTTGCTGAGAAATGGGAAAGGGAAAACGACGGTTGACTCGGTCTGGGTTTTGTGGGAATATGTGCATTACACATACATAGGTCCTAGGATATATGTACATAAGACCCTCCTTACATAGCGAGATACACGAATAGACAACCTAGGTTATAAACGGAACGTGGGAAAGAAAAGCAGATGGGAAAAATTCGTAAGCCGAGGGGCTTTTCTTATACTTCAGCGACCCGCATTCTACTCGAGGACGACGTAATGATGCTTCAGCCCAAAATGCGAGATTTCTGGCCTCGCGAGTCATGGTACGGTTGAGTCCTGATATTCGCCACTTCTGTGAGCCCACGCCTGAACATGTTGTTTTGGATATTCAACAATTTCAAACTTTGTAGGCCATAAGCAATAGGCAATAGCAAATAGTTGACCACTTCTTTACTTGGGAAAAGAGGAGAATACTTTGACAATAGGGTTTAGTTATCATCAAAGACACTCGGATCGTCATTGTATAATACAATATGGTCCAAGTTACTCACATAGTATGGAACTAGCTGTATCTTTTCTCCCTTTCCCCTGTCAGCTGAGTGTTGGTCCGCTATCCCGACTCTAGCATGGCTGACGGATCGGGAGAAGCGACCGATGAGTGAAGTTGGTTAGATAGATACGCTGTATATGCATGCGGTAAGAATCGAGAATACCTAAACTTGGGCGCAAATGTGTGTTATACATGTTCCTCTTCTCACGACGATGATGATATACAAGGTCAGTAATTGCGAACTAGAATCTAAAGCACATGCTTTCAAGGCTATAAGCGAATGGTTGCTAGTACGTATAGGGTTAAAGGGATTCGGATTGCTCGAACTACGAGCCGAAAATCTTCAAGGTTCCCTGTGGGTTGATCCGAAGTTGCAATAGCCAGGTGTACGGTTGTTCTTTTCGAAGATCATGAACAGTTGAACTGCCACGCGGCATAAAACTGTGTCGCTTAGGTACATATTACGACGAGGGCTCATCCTTTTTATTCTTTCTTTCTTTTACGGTCAGCTGGGACACTAAGTGACCGAGAAACCAAGAAAGCCATTGAAAGAATGGAGCGCGTCCCATTATAAACCGACAGAGTGACGAAAGCTGCAAGTAAAAATAAAATGGAAAATCCGTGAAAATCGTGATAACGGTGCGGCGATACCTTAGTACTATCCATGTACGTATGTACGTAGGTGACCGTGTTGTACTGAAGATGAGGGGAAAGCTAGTGCTGCAAGAGATGCATAGGCGACACCAAGATACAGGGCAGACTTGGACCAGCCGAGCATCTAGTACCAATAGTAGCGTGGCGATATTTGCCGTCTGCGCCTCGGGAATGTGTGTCGACGACAGGACGGGGTTCCTAAAAGGTCGTCGCTGGCAGAACTTTTTTTTAAAATGCCATAAATTTTTACTGCATTGTAACAGTAGTTAGGGGACCCTGACTGGGACTCGACTGGACCGAAAAGATTGACTGGATCTGATGGAAATTCTATGTAATGTAGTATTCCTGAAGGGTCCAGTGACCAACCAATCAACCATCCTAAGTGTCATCCCTTACAACCTATGAGAGGGGCATCTCTCGATGTAAAGAGAAGAAATCGGATGCTAGTTAAAAAGTGAAAGATGCCCGACGAGAAGAATTGAACGAGTCTCCAGGGCTCCGGGCTATTCTTTAGATTAAAGAGTGCCTCTGACTTTTCGACGATATCCTGAGAATTATCGTCACAAGGCAACAAGACCGAATAATACTTGCCTTAATAGAAATCATTTCCATCCATGGATAGCGTTA